CTGCACCCCAGTCCCCCCACCCTGGGGGGCCTGAGAGCCCCCCCGGTGCCAGCCGCTGAGTCCGCTGTCCCCCAGGTGGTGAAGATCATCCGACCCAGCGAGACCGCCGGCAGGTACATCACCTACCGGCTTGTGCAATAGCACCGGTGAGGCTCCCCGGCCCCAGAAGGGACCCTCACTCGGAGACTCCTGCCCCCGTGATGGCCCTGCCCGCCCTCTTGGCCCATCCCCAGGGCTTTGGGCTCCCACACCCTGCCTGGGAAGCCGGGTCTCGCCGGGACACCCTGGCCCCGAGGGCGCCTGTTTCCCTCAGAGGCCAGGCACTGTGGGCGGGAAGCCCAGCTTCCCTGGTGAGGGCTGCCTGGAGGCCATGGTGCCTGGCTAGGGCTGCCCTGGGCCTCGTCCACCCCACCCAGGCCCGGGCTGAGGGTTTGGTAGCTCTTTGTGGCCAGGCCGTCCAGCCTCTGCAGTCAGGGCCACTGTCCACGCCGTGACCTCCAGGCACGAGGGAGCCACCTGTCCGCGCTGCACTGGGGTCCAGCCCCTCCCCCCGCGGGGTGGACGTCAGGCTGTCCTCACCCTGCCTGGCTTGTGCCCAGGCCCTCAAGACGGACGGCGACTGCCACCTCCAGGACTCGCCCTGCTCTGGGTGCGTCTGGGCCCCCAGCCTCGCCCCTGCTCCTGGCTCCCTGTGGCTCTGGGACTCCCAGCCCTTCACGTGATGCTCGGAAGCGTCCCGGCCCCTCCTGGGCTCGCTTGCGGCAGGACAGCGAGGGACCTGTGTCCCCCCCCTCCCCTGGACCTGCGGCCACCACAGAAAACACGTTAAAAACTTTATTTTTACAAAATGAATGTGTGTGTGGGTTCACCCGCGGGGGCCAGGGTGGCTTCACGCGTGCACACCCGGGGCTGGGGCTGGGGCTGGGAGCCAGAGCGCGGCTCCAGCCCACCCATGGCTCTCGCGGCAGCCCGTGGGCGTTCCAGCCGGCAGAGGGTGGGCCAGGGCTCGAGGTGCACTGGCGGTCGGGAGGTGGGCGGTCCTCGTGGCCAGGCTGAGCTTGTGAAAGGCCCGTGGCAGCACGATGGAGGTGCCGGGCGGGCCTGCGGCCTCGGCCCTCAGGCTCAGGAGCTTCTGGGCGGCGGCTGTGTGCCCAGGCGTGCTTGGAGCCAGGGACCCCAGGGCGCGGGTCTGGGGCTGGTG